GTAGGTTAATAGCGATATACTAATATACTAATTACATGGGATATAATAATATACTACACTAATAATGGATTTTTTCATACTTTTCGGTTATCCGACTTTTGAATTATCCGACCAACCCCAGTCCCCAATTGAGTCGGATAATCGAGGCTCTACTGTAGTAACAATGGGCATTTAGATCAATTCGCAGTTGAATGGTTTTGCCTATTAAATGCAATTAAACAGAATTCTGAGTGACTTGCAATAAATGAGAAGAACAACGACACAACTGCACCAGTACAGGTAATAAATCATGTAGGCCTTTCCGTAACAGATTCAAACACAGTATTTATCATTATATATTACATTGTGTTTACGTGGCGTGGTAATGTCTTTTCCTAAAAATACGAGAAAAAAACTGTAAGCTGCATATATGTAATTCCGTTGGCTATTTGTCTCCACTATTTTCTTATCTGTCTAAAACTCGTGTCTACGCCGTTGACAAGGATTAGAATTACCGAGGTTATTCTATGAACAATTAATTAATTTGATATGGTTTGATGCATCGACGCAACACGTACGCGATTTGCGAAAAGAGGGCTTTCTACAGGAAACTGGGCATATTTACGTATTAGACATGTAAAAAAATCAGTAAAACTACCACAAGACCACTCCCTGTTGGTTAGGCGCGAACCCACGACTAGTGTTCAACGGTGTTATTCATCCGGTGACTGGCCAGCCTGAAACAATTGAATAACATATTAAATAAATTAATAAATAAGCACGCACGACCCCAAATTTGTATTTGTCTTGTCTAGTTTGTCGTTGTGTTCATTTGTTTTTTCACACTGTCTGTCTAGCTGTGAAGTAGTATTAAGATTCACACTCATGTTCAGTTTCATTAGCATTAAGTAGTTATAAGCAGGGCTGTGGAGTTCGAGTCGTCAAAAAATCCACAAACTCCGACTCCTTTTTACGTATATGAAATGAAAAAGTATTGGAATCATGTCAAATTTGACCCTCCCAGTTTTTTTTGCAAATCTACACGATTGGAGACCTCCTGAACCCCCAAAAAGTCAATAAAAGGGGAAAAATTTGCACGCATGTGTGTTGGTGTCTAATTTCTTTACCCATTCTGAGATATTGTTTATCTCAGAACAGAAAATAAAGTTTAAGAAACAAAATTTGGTACTGTAGCTTTCATATAAAGTGGCAATAATTAAGAACCAAAATTTAATAGCATTAAAGGTCGACAGGGTGAAGACAGAGAAGGTCATGTGTCATTTCTCCAGTGTGGTTGAACTTAATGAATATTTTACTCGTTATTAGCATTCACAATTTTTAAAAAAATAAAACTCGTCTCTACCCTCAAAAGTAAGGTTTTTGTCATTTTATAAGAGTATAGTGAAACCTGTTAAGATGTTAGGATGTGTATGGGGGCACAATTTAGTTCAACCACTTTGACGCTTAATAACTCCTGTGTTAACTCAGATTTAAAAACCAAACCACAGTAGTTATTAGTAGTGATGNCCTGTTGTACGAGGGTTTTACCCAATTCTCGAACCGTGTCAGAGTGAATCCGTGCTATAAAAGTACCGTGTTAAACGGGGGATGGTATCAATTCTCGAACCGTGTTAAAGCGAATCCGTGCTATAGAAGTGCCGTGTTATACGGGGGTTACCTGTATAATTAATTGAAGTGTATTCATATTCTTGTAGACTATCCCTGCGTAATACAATAGTCACATGCAACATTGATATTTTATTATAATGGCATTAAAATAACGATATAAAATTTGTACGATCAAGAAAAACATCATATAACTTTTGTTTATCCAACACAATGTAGTGCAACTTAACGATCCCTTGGCTTTCTTTCACCTTTATTATANTATTTATATGCGAAATTATACCCCGACTTACGCGATTACCGCTCAGTCCCACCTATCGCGTAAGTTCGGGGTATCACTGTATATAACACAAAAATTTTTCTAACATATAAAGCAAAGGCAATTTTATTGTAACTAATTGCCAATACAGCAGAGCATAAAGTAGTACAGATGAAATCACTGAGTGAAATAAATTTATATAAATATGAGCAGAATTAATTTTAGCTCTTGAAAGAATAGGCCATATTGAACCCATTGCCATTTTAGCCTTATGTATACTATATTTTTTGCCTGTAAAAATTGTCCAGAAGATAAAAATAATACTCCCAAGTAGATGTAATTCGTAACGACCTGTAGAAGCTGATTATAATAAACCATTTTTCTCTGTATGATCGAATACCATTACTTTTGTTTTAGAAACATCTATAGTTAATCCATAGACACAGAAAATTTCTCCAAAATTGCAATTTTACATTTTGACATTTGTGTGGTATTAGCAAGAATTACAGTGTCGTCAGCATGCATTAATATATGTAACTCAACTTGATCAGAGAGAGAACTCCAGGTAAGAAAAATTTAGCGTGTCGAATTATCAGATTATTAACGTAAAAATTAAAAATTAATAGGCTCAAAATTTTATCCCNTATAGAAGTGCCGTGTTATACGGGGGTTACCTGTATAATTAATTGAAGTGTATTCATATTCTTGTAGACTATCCCTGCGTAATACAATAGTCACATGCAACATTGATATTTTATTATAATGGCATTAAAATAACGATATAAAATTTGTACGATCAAGAAAAACATCATATAACTTTTGTTTATCCAACACAATGTAGTGCAACTTAACGATCCCTTGGCTTTCTTTCACCTTTATTATAGTTGATCAACTAGAATAAAGCCGAAAGAAAGCCAAGTGATCATTAAGTCGCACTACATTGTGTTAGATAAACAATAGAAATAGAACACGACACTGTTTCAAAAAGATCAAAATCATATAACGTTTTGTTGACATATATACGTCGAACATCTATATGCCAGTGTGTTGGTAAGTGTCGAGAACCCGCGATTAACTTCCAGTGGTTAGTGGTTCTGTCCACTCGACTACTAGTGTCCCTTTTAATGTAAAAATTTTACTTATCATAACTGCAAGTAAACAGATTTAATTCGTATTTAGTGGCTTAGCGCCGTACTGGATTAAGTAGCAATTGTTTTCTGGCACAAGGATAATCTAGCCAAACTGCTTAATAAACTTGTACAATACAATGAGTAAGAGCAACAAATTCCCAACACTGTAGAAAGTCGTTGAATGTCAATTTTGGAAACGAAAAGTAATATACGTTTCAGTATTCAGGAAAATTATTTCGAGTTTTATTCTATCTAGTCAATTAAAGTATATAAACATTAACAGTATCTCTTTATCTTTAATAATTTGGGAGATAACTCATAGTTTAAAATGAAGGCCAAAGCAAATTTCACGTACAATTTTATTTACTCTAGAATTTATTGATAGTAATGTTAATACATAATTGACATTAAAAAGTAATTGTGAGTAATTTTTTGAAATGAAAATTTATGCGCTTACCTTTATATCGTTTTATAATTACTGAGAAATATTATAAGATAATGAATAACTAGTTTTCTACTAAAACAGAGAGTTACTTCTACGTTGCGTGAAGAGAAATTTTTAATCAACTGACTTATTCAGAATTTTATAAACATAAAGATGCGAATTTAACGATCGATAAGGACATTAGAAAACGTGATTTATTCTCTTGCATACAAAAAGAAGGTGCTGTACAATAGCTTTCATCTTCTACAAATTATAGTTATCAATATATACTGAAGTAAATTTTTAACAAAATACATAAATAATACACCTGTATATTTAAAGATACTTTGGAAATTAAATAATAAATCTAATAAATAATTTAAAAACTTTTTAAAGATCTCTATTATAATAGTGTTTTGCTCGTTAAAATTAATAGAAATTCATATTTTTGTAAATCGTGACTGTCAAAAAATGGCCCTTGAAAATAACATTTAAAAAAAAAATTTTATCATGAAATTCGGTAAACATTTTCACTTGAAACACGCGTGAAAAATTCAAATCAATTATTAGAGTATGCAAATCACACTCATTATTTTAATGTTTACATATGCAGCAAGCAAATAGAATGTCACTTATCCGTGAGACAATTATCTACATATCGCTTTATCCAAGTATACTTGCACAGTTCTAACAATAGCTAAGTGAATAAAACACTAAGCCACTATTAGATTAAACTACACAGTAGTTAGTTACTCGCAAGTTAGCGCCTTGTAAGCTGCCTATGTAGTGTTACAGGTTTGAAAGATTAAATTTTCTTTAATCTAAATTTCGCGAAGTTAACAGAGACTTGTTTTTATTAGTTTATATGATCATAGTCTTGCCTATGCTAGATAAAACCATGATTATTAGTGAAAATGTAAATGATATAATAAAGTTTTAAAATTTCTCTTCGAAGAAGGATAATGATTAAGAACTTTATAATTAAAAAACTCGTTTTTATTTAGGTATTACGCACACGAAGCAAATCTGGAAAATTTCACTTGTCTAGCCTATTGGTCAGATTGAAACCCATGAATTTAGTGGAATTAGCCACTTGGCCACAGGTTAGCGCGACATTGAGAAGTTATGAAAAAAGCATAAGACGGAAAAGCGAAAATTGAAGAGAAAACTTTCTTCTGCACGCAATCATATCGAATAAAAAAGATAAACGCTCCAATTCAATAAAAGTAATTACTTTCTTCTGTGCGTAAACAAATGTCTAATCAATAAACAGATAGGTCTACTTCAGTTATGGAAACGCAACACTTGGGCAATCTCTAGGAAATGCCTTTCTAACGGTAACAGGACCGTTAGAAATCCCAAAAACTCCACGTGGTCAAGTCATCCTGGCCAGGCCCTAATCCACGACGGAATTCTCAGTGTTCGGAAAACTAAACCGCTTGGGCACTTGGCCAGTTATTTAAAATAAACATTGTAGAGTATTTTTTAATTTCCTCTATTCTCTAGCTTTTACATCTCAGTCACGATATAAAATGCTACTTGAAATCGATTCATAATTTAATTTTAAAAAATTTTTTAATCATTGTAATTATGTTCAACACCAATTAAATAAATGAAGCACTTTCATTTAATATATGTATTTTATTCATTTGTATATGAAAGTTTCTAATTAGTTTACTGTATAATCCATCAGTTACATTTAATATCCTTTACCAAATCTAGCGTGTACACATATAATGTTGCTTGTTTCTTGCGTGGCACTTGCATATTGTGTTTTCTCTAACATCGAATATAATATTCTAACACGCATCTTTGCATAAATTTAATGGTACTTGAAATAATTGTAAGTAAATAATTGTTTCATAAGAACATAAGAAGTTTCCAATATATTAATACGTGTTAATGATAACGTCTACACTTCCGTTTTAATAAAGATTTTCTGCAGTGACATTGAAATATTTTGTTAATTGTGACATTAGCATGAAAGAATCGTGACAAGCCGCCGTTCTGTACATTACTTACGATCTAAATCAATAGTGGATCCAGAAATCTTTAAAGGGGCGCAGAAAAGAAACAATATACTTGAGTTACCTACCTGATTTTGCTCAAGTAAATGCACAGAATGTAAGTGCAGTTTAGCCCCGAATCTATTCTGTTCTCACCTACGACGATGGCTAGAAGCAAATAAACAATTCAGAATAAAAACGACGTAAAAATGCCTTGTGTCTATTAATACACCCAGTAGTAAAGAAAATAACAGTCATAATCCAAACTTCCCACATAAATTCATCTGGACAGTTGTTTGTTAAATTACGGCAAGGCAACACTTCGGCAACCTGCCTAGGGGATAGGTTTATTTTCCAAAACGTACATTACTGTTATCATTAACACGTAATAATATTTTAGAAACATTATATATATACTTACAATTATTTTACGTGCTATTGATTTCATATGAAGTTGCGTGTTAGAAGTTTATATTCGATGTTAGAGAAAACAAAATATGCAAGTGTCACGCAAGTAACACGCAACATTATATGTGTACACGCTTAATTTGGTAAAGTATATTAAATGTAACCGATGGATTATGTAGTAAATTAATTAGAAACTTTCATATTATACAAATGAATAAAATACATATACTAAATGAAAGTGTGTCATTTATTTAATTGGTGTTAAATTTAAATAAATGATTAAAAATTTTTTTAAATTAAATTATGAATCGATTTCAAGTAGCATTTTATATCGTGACTGAGATGAAAAAGCTAGAGTATAGAGGAAATTAAAAAGTACTATACAGTGTATATTTTAAATAACGGGCCAAGTGGCTAAGCGGTTCAGTTTTCCGAACACTGAAAGTTCGGTCGTGGGTTAGCGCCTGGACAGGACGAGCTGACCACGTCGAGTTTTCCGGGTTATCTCCACGTCTGTAACACCTAAATAGAGGCCAGTTTCCTTAGAAAGTCCTTCCAGGAGGCATTTTTCTTCGACATATCGCCAGGTGTTACGTTGCTATAAACAATTAAACCCATTGTAGCAGTTATGACTTGATAGGGCAGGGATGGCTAACAGTTTTCGGCTCCGGGTCGGATTGGAAATGAAACTTTTTCCACGCGCCGAACCAGAGGTTGCCCTAGGAAATTTATCAGGTGGTGCGAGATTTCATTGTGGTGTCACCCCGTAGAGACTAATTGTAGATAGAGATTACAGATACATTTTTCACGTTATCATACTTTATCAACACCCTACGCTGTACTTAAGAGATTTGTAATGGAGGCCATATGTTGGCCATGCCTGTGATAGAGTGTTAAATTTTATACATAGAAATAAAATTTAAATGTTAATACTGTATAATAGTTTTTACATTTATTTGAATAACTAATTTTAATGATTGTACTCGTAATTATTTTATAGTCACGCAACAATTAATTAAATATTTCTTTTAGAAATAATAATAATATTTACATTTTTGTTTTTTCATACGTAACGTAGCAATTGCATTAAAATATACTTGAAAACACGCGATATGCTGTTTCCATACAACAGTTATTTCTTCCTATCGGCGCTGACCGTGCAGTTTATAACAATGCTTTCGTATTGTTGTCTTTTTCATATTATTCTACTTACTTTTACGATTGCTTATTCAGAAAATAGTAAGTAAATCTTTTTGTGGTAAAATTTAAGAAGATTTTTCTTATTGATCAAAAGCTATGTATGTGTGGCATAGTTTGCTTTATTCTTTCTAATCATGGAACTTTACAACTGCAGTTATTATATTGTTGTTTCACGCTTTGTTTAAATTTTGTCAGTGTTTGGTGCAGTTTGGTTAAGAATCCCTTAACGCTAGTAAAACTAAATATACAGTTTTTTAAATATATTTTTATCGCGTTCTTGTTGTTAAGTTTGTTTCTTTATTAAGTTACGGCAACGGAACACTTGTGCAATGCTTTCTGGGGGTTTTTATCAGGGTGACTGGCTCTTATTCAGGTGTTACAGGCGTTACCCAGAAAACTCCACGTGGCCAGCCTGTTTTAGCGAGGCGTAATCTCAAGACCGAACTTCCAGTGTTCGGAGAACGGACCCGTTTGGCCACTAGTTGGCCTATTGTTGTTAAATTTTAAACAGATTAAGTTATCACTATATTCTTTCTCTCTCTATCAACTTCGAACAGTTTCGATGTATTGCATATTTGCGAAAACTTTCTGAACTGCTGTAGAACTTTCACATTGTTTTATTTGGGAGAGTTGTTATCTATCACCCAGGTTTGTTGTTAACATATTTTTCACATTTTAGTTCGCACGTTCGACACTTTTTTGTATTCACTGTATTGGTTTTCTATAAATGATTATGAGTTCATGCTGTTTGGGTTTGATGTTGGAATATGACAATGAAACTCGAGGGCGATTTGCCAAGGACACAGTGCCTCCCGGAGATTTTCCACGTTAACTTGACTCCCTTTAAGGTGCTAGATATGTGAAAAAACACCCGAAAAAGATGTGGCGCGCCATTAAAACTAATTTTAATTAGGAATTGTTTTAATAAATGCTCGTCGCATAATTCATACAATGAAATTCTAAGAGCTGTATTTGTGGTCTAATACATCATTTCGGTACGAAATTTATACAGAATTCGACAACAAGAGCAGATTGTTAAAAGTTGCAGGACTTGAGGTAATAAAAATAAACTTTTCGAAAAATAGTATTTTTGTTCTTATAAGCGAAACTAATGTTGGTTTATTTTTTGTGTTTAGAATGAAATATACATGCAGTACGACGAAAATTACAGGATCACTGGTGGAGAATTATTCAACACGTTCATGACTGTTTTGAACAAAGCAAGATTTAGGTAAGTAATAAATGTATTAAATTAATACAATAATTGAGGAAATAATATGGAAATTGAATAGTAAAACGCTATTTAAAAATTTTATCTAGACAGTTATTAGAAAATTTAATATTTTTTTTAAACTTAAAACTAATATATGAGAGAATTGCTGTAATTGCACTATATCAAAATATTTTAATTTTCACAGCATATCATCTCGATTTTTCTACCTAAAACTGTAGCGTGAAATATCTGCTATCTCTACTATTAAAATCAAAAATTTATAAAATTGCAGTTCATTTTAGTGCTATTCTATACACATCTACAAACAATATGATTTCAGTAAAACCGTACTGTTTGTAGTAGTAAATCGATTCCTAAATCGTATTTACTTATTTCATTAAATTCAAGTTTTATTTTAATAAGTCTACGTTTTCACACTACTGTTATTTCTTTGAATGTACAGCACTTCTCGTTTTTATTGCTGTAATAAAAAGTTAATTTTGACAAGCTAATGTATAATGAATTGTGCTTTCTAAAATTCCACCGATACTATTTAGGGACTATTTGTTAATGTGACTTCAGAAATTTGATATATCACACTCATTTGCGTATTTAACTTATTTAGACTTCAAATTTTATAAATTAACATGTTGTAAGTGTTTAATTTTGGTATCAGATTATATCTAATAGTATCATGATAACATGTTGATAGAGTTAGAAATGGGCACCGGTAATATTGAGTTAGGTGTTCTTTGGTTGATAAGTTGATAAATTCCTGTGCATAAAAAGTAACAGTTAAATTGGTAAACCGTTGTAAACTTATATGTTTCAAATGAACTAGTATCATTTTACAGGCAAAAAATGGCGACTTTGTAAAAGAATAGGTGAGGCTTGTAAGAAGAATTTGTAGAAATTTTTGATACATTCATAGAAGTATTAGCATACCTCTTGTACTTCTAAGCGTGTTTGGTACTATTTTATCTTAAATCTAAAGATCTCTCGTAAGTTTCTGCTTATATAAGTGCTGTAATAGATTCTTACATTGTTGGACTTAAGACACTGCCAAACGTCAAAAAATGAAATAATTCCGGAATAATTTGTTTGTATAAATGTTAGTATGTAGGGGGTAGGATTTCGTTTATCCTGTTTGAACCTTAATAACTCATGTGCTTTTTGTCAAAAGTTAATGAAATTTTGTAGGAATGTTTGTTTTTTAAAGGATTGATGCTGTTAGATTTTCGGCGGTTAAATGTCAAGGAATGGGGAGACAACAAGGATATCGTGTGTTAGAGAGTAAAGCTATAAAACTCTTTGATCGGCGTCAGGTTGATAAAACCCGCTCACGTTGTCACTGGATGGCTAGGATAGCTCTAAGTACAGTGGGGAAATCGTTGATAAGTCGACAAGGTGTCTGTTTCTCCAGAATAAAGGCAGGTTACGAGGTTGACAAATAAGCAACAATTTGACAAAAAAAAACAAACCAGATTACAATATACAGCTAAGTATTTATAAGATAATAGACCGAGAGATAGAGTGTATACAATTCTCCAAGTAAAATATCTTTATTAGACCGATGTCTCCGGATTCAGGTTATGTGATGGTCGGAGAAAGATCGTGGATCTTCGGCGAAGGTAGGTTTAATAAAAGAGAGACGAAATTGGCAATGTTGAAAGGTGGAACGTTGTGTATTATTCCTCGAAATATGTTTGTCCCGAAGGTTGAGTTCGAACCTTTTTTTGTCCTCTAGAGTGTGCGACTTTTGCTCAGGTGATTCACTTTGTTGTGATTCTAACTTCCCGATTTGTCCCCGGTAAATTAGAACCGTCTGACTCTTTTTACCATATAAGGCAACAAATTCGAAGCTTTTAGAGGTCACCCTCGCGGTGTTATGACTCCTCTTACTTTATAGTTTAACTGATTTTGACGTTTCTCCCCAGTTATAACCATTTGTTAACATATTCGCGGTACTTATTCAAAACATTGTTAAAAACAGTCAATGTGTATAGTTATTTGATGGTCTTTATCTATCGAAACAGGTAAAAGGAAATTCCAAGTGGTGGGAAAAGGAAGTGGATTTTTTTACTTCTGCCTGAACTGCGTATTCGTTTAATTAACTAATTAAACTAATTACTTAATTGCACCTCCAGAATCTCACATGTGTATCTCTAGTAAAGTCAGACTTAATGACGATTTCCCTTATTTTTTAAATTTTCTTCAAGTTTTTATATAAGTCGTCCCTACCCTCAAAATTAAGCTTTTTCCCTTTTAAATTGTTAAAAATATTTAGGAATTTTTAATAAACTACGATAACAGATGGCGCCACCAAAATTGTAATTGTTGCCGGAAAAGTTCAGCAACTCGTTGCTGGTTTATTATAAAGATGTTCTTTTCAAATATTTCATTTAAACATAAATTTTGTCTTTTTAATCTACACATGAAAATAATTTGATTTCAGAATATTAAATGAATTTTGATTACAAGCATCAAAGATTTTAGATGGCATCATTTTAAAAGTTACATTGTAATTAAGTACTTGATTTGAATTTTTAAATAAAAAACTTGGCTTTTTTTAAGATATGAATTGGTAAAACCTATCCCAACATCATTTGGTATGAAGACAACAAACGGAAGTTGGAAAGGAATGATTGGACAAATTGTCAATAAGGTAAGGTAATGAGAAGATTTCGATTTATCGGAGTTGTAAGACTCGCCGTGATTTAGCTTTGGTACGTACTTCTGCCGGAGAAACCATTCATCATATCTTATTGGTGTTCATTGACATCACTGGGATAAGGCTGGCCATAACTATTTACATTGTTGACCTAATAGGCATGTTGACTAGGAAATCATTAAGACCTAGATTCTGCTTACCGCTGTGAAGGATTTGGAAACAAGCTGGACTACGAATGCCGGTATGTCCGTAAGTAATGGCTCTACAGATCTTGAAGTGAGAATGTAAAAGCTGCTCCTGGTGTGTTGTGTTGTGTGGAAGCTGCTGGAAGCAGTCAAAGAAATTGCAACCGTCTACATAGAATTTCAGTGTGGTACTGAGAGGTCTGTCTCTGCCTCAGTCTCTCGAAAAACGCTGGAATCATGTGACTTCTAAGTTTCAGTATTGAGTCCCTCCCAAATAATTATGGTCAGCCATATTCTATTAATTTATCATTCATATCTAATTTTATATTTAAAATGTGTGTTTTGAATATTGACATTTTATTATAGTAAAAAAATATAAAATTTTTGTTTTGAAATATTACCTATTAATAAAAATATATTAGAAAGCTGATATTACATTCAATTCCCTTGTGATGACTGAAGAACGATTGAAAGTGATTGATTATTCTTCAAATGTCGCGTTCGTAAGATATCCATTTATGATAAAACTACCGAAGAAAATGTTTAATTGGACATCTCTGATTCGACAATTTTCTCTGGAAGTAAGTTGATTTATATTTTACTTATTTGCAAAAATTGGAAAGTTTTAAATGCGTGATTCATTAAAATTTTACAGGTGTGGATATTAATGTTTACTTCTACATTAATATGTGGATTAGTGATTTACAAAGTGTTGAAAGAAGAAGCACGTCTGGATGAGAACACTCCAGTTTGGACTGTCTCGAGAGCTTATTGGTTTCTTTTTGGAACCTTTCTCAATCATGGTTGAAATTAAAAATTAAAATATATATCTTGTAATGTCAGAAACTTCATTTAAGATTAGATTTTTTCTCTTACTAGGAGCACGCCTAAATTTCGTAGTTAGATTTCCTTCGAGAATAATTATTGCAGTATGGTTGATAGCAACGGTGGTGCTAGTATGGAGTTATACTGGCATTTTACTGTCTTTCATGACAACTCCGAAACTAGAATTTGTCCCACGAACTGTCGAAGAACTAGCAACTACTGTAAAAAGAGGAGATTTTTCATGTGGCACTGTGGCTGGCAATGCAATCACATCGTATCTGATGGTATGCATAGAAGTTATCACTTTCATAACAGAGCTAATATGTTTTCAAAGTATTTAGAAACTTACGTCTTTCTAATAAATATATTTTTAAGCATTTAATAAAATTCCATCTACAATAATTGAAATGAAAGGTATTTTCATCAACAGTGGATCGTTTTGTGTTTAAGTACGAGTATGAAATTTTTAAAAATTATTTTATTAACTTATTTATTTCTGTTTTGTAGCATTCGACAGAATTACATATTAAAATAATAAATAATCATATTCAAGAGAGTAAGAATTTGTTTTCGGAAGAAGATGGATTTCAAAAAGTATTAGAAGGACGATTTGCTTTCATTACTGAAGAATTTGCCATGAAACAAGTATTGAAAAAATATGATGATAAAGAAGTTCTCATTTGTAGTGATTCTGTTCAAACTTTTACAATGGGATATGGTTTGACGAAGGGATCAATTTATAAGCCAATTATTGATAAAATGTAAGTCTACGTTTTTATATTGTTTTTAAAGAAAAATCATCATTTAAACGTAATGTTGGATTTTTTACCCATTTCAGAATATCCAGATTATTCGATGCAGGAATAACATATTATGAATATTTAGGTTTGTTCGAGATGACATTCGATTCGGAATCATATCGACCTTTAATGGTGGAAGATTTACTAAGCCCGATTGTATTGCTATTACTTGGATACATGATTTCTGTCGTATGTTTCTTTATTGAACTATCATTTGCCAAAATATGGCCTGCTTCAGACATACATTGACTATGATTATAGTATCATAAAGTGTTAGGAAATAAATAAACAGAAACGAAACACCTTTTTTCTTGCCGAGAAATACATATAATTAATAGCACAAACGTTTTCAGCCCAATTGACACTGGCAAATAATTACAGAACGATTCCGTAGCCGTAGTTCAATTTTTTACCGCTACTTCTTGACGTCAAGAAGCTGGACAAGCATAATTCTGTTAATATATTACGAACAAAATTGGCTACTGTTCGTTTGTTGAACGTCAAATTTGTCTTTTGTCTAATGTTGAATGTTTATATTATAGCTTTAAAAGATGATTATTGTTTATTATTTATATCAAAATATTTAAAATTATACAGTATATTATAAAAGTTATTCTACAGAATATGCAGACTTTCGTTCTTAAATTCTTTTAATCTGAAGATTTTCCCGCTGAATTTTCTATCTCTTATTCGAATTTTTTTTTGTATTACAGTATTTAATAAAATTATTTATTGCTTTTTAGAAATAATTTAAACGTTTTATATCAGAAAATTTGCAATATTTTATTTTACAATTAACGTTTATCTTTGAAATGTTCCACAAAACCAAACTCAATTTTTTCCGTAGGCATCCTAATTTGGTTTTCAAAAGATTTTAAAAAACCTAACTCTAGCGAATACCAAAAATTGAGTGTATCTTATGTAATTTGAGTAAAGTCTTTTGAATTGGTAGTTTAAATCCATCAACAAATTATCACCGTCNTTTTTTGTATTATTTAATAAAATTATTCATTGCTTTTTAGAAATAATTTAAACATTTTATATTAGAAAATTTGCAATATTTTATTTCACAATTAACGTTTATCTTTGAAATGTTCCACAAAACCAAACTCAAAATTATTTATTGCTTTTTAGAAATAATTTAAACGTTTTATATCAGAAAATTTGCAATATTTTATTTTACAATTAACGTTTATCTTTGAAATGTTCCACAAAACCAAACTCAATTTTTTCCGTAGGCATCCTAATTTGGTTTTCAAAAGATTTTAAAAAACCTAACTCTAGCGAATACCAAAAATTGAGTGTATCTTATGTAATTTGAGTAAAGTCTTTTGAATTGGTAGTTTAAATCCATCAACAAATTATCACCGTCAGTAAAATATTAGTGAACTTTTGTAGCTTGATTTAACAGATCTGCAATGATTTATTTGAACGTTAGCTAAGAAAAAATGCTACAGTATTCATAAGAAAGATGTTTCCTTTATGAAAAAGATTTATTGAAAATTACACATTTGTAATATTTTTATACGCACAATCTGTTATTGAATGTTTTCTTTTTGTAAGTACANTATCTAATTCTGAAGCTAATCGCATGACATCGTAAAACGTCGAATTAACGGGAACGTTCAACAACATATTAGAAATGATATCTTTGTCTTGTCCAACGAAAATAAAGTAGCTAACACGGTGCTTCGAGAGTTTTTTAGAATCGATTTCTTCCTGCATTGTAACGTTGCCTGAAAAAATTTAATAATAATTGATGTGGAAACTGTAAATACCAAATGAAATTCAGATACCAACGTGGTTCGACCATGGGACAACTTAAATTTCCCAAATCAAGAAATGTTTTTTCATTTAGTATTGGAAGTATTAAGTATGTTGCCAAACTATCCCCGAAGGATCCATCTTGGTTTTGTTGCGAAATGATATAATCAACGGCTTTCCTTACAATCCGGTCTTTCGCGATGCTGACGTTTAAATCCACGGAAAATAACGCCTATTAATAGAAATCGACGTAATAAAATAAATAAAACAAAATACATACAGTGTATTTACATAGTAATGAATTATTGAAACTTACGTGCATTAAAATGGCAGTTGTGTGAATATTTCCGAAGCTACCGTCTTCATTCTGTAACGTCGTTAATTGCTCTTTTATTTTGCTAAAGAGAAAAATTTTTGTCTCATACTTAAAAGTTTCATCTTTGAAATAGTTTTTTTGATATGACGTAATATGATTTTTCATACACCACAACGCCATTACAGCATACCCCAGAGTACCTGTAGAAAATTTCAAAAATTAAATATATCGAACTTTTAAAAATTTATAAGACGAACAGAAAAATTTAAATATCATAAATTTGCCTTTTTTCAATAATTTGATATTTGTCCTTTATCTGTGCACGTGTCCGAATCGAAGAATAAATATTATTATTAAATCTTCGGACACTTTGTACATTTTACTTATGTTATATAAGCGACATTAATACAATGATTTGTAATATGTTTGAATTTAGGTAAGAAAGTTATTATTTTTTACTCAAATACATAAACAACTTTTTGACAAAATGTACACCTTACAATTAACTCAATACTGTCAATAATGTTGCATTACAATACTTATCTGCAGCTTTAGCTAGCTTCGAGGTAGATGCTGTATATGCTACAGACGTGTGTACCTTATAGTGTAGCTATAGGTGAAGTACAGTACTGTACATATCAGTAGCGTATTGTGTATTTGCAAAATATCTAATACCATACACACAGCNTGACTGAGATGAAAAAGCTAGAGTATAGAGGAAATTAAAAAGTACTATACAGTGTATATTTTAAATAACGGGCCAAGTGGCTAAGCGGTTCAGTTTTCCGAACACTGAAAGTTCGGTCGTGGGTTAGCGCCTGGACAGGACGAGCTGACCACGTCGAGTTTTCCGGGTTATCTCCACGTCTGTAACACCTAAATAGAGGCCAGTTTCCTTAGAAAGTCCTTCCAGGAGGCATTTTTCTTCGACATATCGCCAGGTGTTACGTTGCTATAAACAATTAAACCCATTGTAGCAGTTATGACTTGATAGGGCAGGGATGGCTAACAGTTTTCGGCTCCGGGTCGGATTGGAAATGAAACTTTTTCCACGCGCCGAACCAGAGGTTGCCCTAGGAAATTTATCAGGTGGTGCGAGATTTCATTGTGGTGTCACCCCGTAGAGACTAATTGTAGATAGAGATTACAGATACATTTTTCACGTTATCATACTTTATCAACACCCTACGCTGTACTTAAGAGATTTGTAATGGAGGCCATATGTTGGCCATGCCTGTGATAGAGTGTTAAATTTTATACATAGAAATAAAATTTAAATGTTAATACTGTATAATAGTTTTTACATTTATTTGAATAACTAATTTTAATGATTGTACTCGTAATTATTTTATAGTCACGCAACAATTAATTAAATATTTCTTTTAGAAATAATAATAATATTTACATTTTTGTTTTTTCATACGTAACGTAGCAATTGCATTAAAATATACTTGAAAACACGCGATATGCTGTTTCCATACAACAGTTATTTCTTCCTATCGGCGCTGACCGTGCAGTTTATAACAATGCTTTCGTATTGTTGTCTTTTTCATATTATTCTACTTACTTTTACGATTGCTTATTCAGAAAATAGTAAGTAAATCTTTTTGTGGTAAAATTTAAGAAGATTTTTCTTATTGATCAAAAGCTATGTATGTGTGGCATAGTTTGCTTTATTCTTTCTAATCATGGAACTTTACAACTGCAGTTATTATATTGTTGTTTCACGCTTTGTTTAAATTTTGTCAGTGTTTGGTGCAGTTTGGTTAAGAATCCCTTAACGCTAGTAAAACTAAATATACAGTTTTTTAAATATATTTTTATCGCGTTCTTGTTGTTAAGTTTGTTTCTTTATTAAGTTACGGCAACGGAACACTTGTGCAATGCTTTCTGGGGGTTTTTATCAGGGTGACTGGCTCTTATTCAGGTGTTACAGGCGTTACCCAGAAAACTCCACGTGGCCAGCCTGTTTTAGCGAGGCGTAATCTCAAGACCGAACTTCCAGTGTTCGGAGAACGGACCCGTTTGGCCACTAGTTGGCCTATTGTTGTTAAATTTTAAACAGATTAAGTTATCACTATATTCTTTCTCTCTCTATCAACTTCGAACAGTTTCGATGTATTGCATATTTGCGAAAACTTTCTGAACTGCTGTAGAACTTTCACATTGTTTTATTTGGGAGAGTTGTTATCTATCACCCAGGTTTGTTGTTAACATATTTTTCACATTTTAGTTCGCACGTTCGACACTTTTTTGTATTCACTGTATTGGTTTTCTATAAATGATTATGAGTTCATGCTGTTTGGGTTTGATGTTGGAATATGACAATGAAACTCGAGGGCGATTTGCCAAGGACACAGTGCCTCCCGGAGATTTTCCACGTTAACTTGACTCCCTTTAAGGTGCTAGATATGTGAAAAAACACCCGAAAAAGATGTGGCGCGCCATTAAAACTAATTTTAATTAGGAATTGTTTTAATAAATGCTCGTCGCATAATTCATACAATGAAATTCTAAGAGCTGTATTTGTGGTCTAATACATCATTTCGGTACGAAATTTATACAGAATTCGACAACAAGAGCAGATTGTTAAAAGTTGCAGGACTTGAGGTAATAAAAATAAACTTTTCGAAAAATAGTATTTTTGTTCTTATAAGCGAAACTAATGTTGGTTTATTTTTTGTGTTTAGAATGAAATATACATGCAGTACGACGAAAATTACAGGATCACTGGTGGAGAATTATTCAACACGTTCATGACTGTTTTGAACAAAGCAAGATTTAGGTAAGTAATAAATGTATTAAATTAATACAATAATTGAGGAAATAATATGGAAATTGAATAGTAAAACGCTATTTAAAAATTTTATCTAGACAGTTATTAGAAAATTTAATATTTTTTTTAAACTTAAAACTAATATATGAGAGAATTGCTGTAATTGCACTATATCAAAATATTTTAATTTTCACAGCATATCATCTCGATTTTTCTACCTAAAACTGTAGCGTGAAATATCTGCTATCTCTACTATTAAAATCAAAAATTTATAAAATTGCAGTTCATTTTAGTGCTATTCTATACACATCTACAAACAATATGATTTCAGTAAAACCGTACTGTTTGTAGTAGTAAATCGATTCCTAAATCGTATTTACTTATTTCATTAAATTCAAGTTTTATTTTAATAAGTCTACGTTTTCACACTACTGTTATTTCTTTGAATGTACAGCACTTCTCGTTTTTATTGCTGTAATAAAAAGTTAATTTTGACAAGCTAATGTATAATGAATTGTGCTTTCTAAAATTCCACCGATACTATTTAGGGACTATTTGTTAATGTGACTTCAGAAATTTGATATATCACACTCATTTGCGTATTTAACTTATTTAGACTTCAAATTTTATAAATTAACATGTTGTAAGTGTTTAATTTTGGTATCAGATTATATCTAATAGTATCATGATAACATGTTGATAGAGTTAGAAATGGGCACCGGTAATATTGAGTTAGGTGTTCTTTGGTTGATAAGTTGATAAATTCCTGTGCATAAAAAGTAACAGTTAAATTGGTAAACCGTTGTAAACTTATATGTTTCAAATGAACTAGTATCATTTTACAGGCAAAAAATGGCGACTTTGTAAAAGAATAGGTGAGGCTTGTAAGAAGAATTTGTAGAAATTTTTGATACATTCATAGAAGTATTAGCATACCTCTTGTACTTCTAAGCGTGTTTGGTACTATTTTATCTTAAATCTAAAGATCTCTCGTAAGTTTCTGCTTATATAAGTGCTGTAATAGATTCTTACATTGTTGGACTTAAGACACTGCCAAACGTCAAAAAATGAAATAATTCCGGAATAATTTGTTTGTATAAATGTTAGTATGTAGGGGGTAGGATTTCGTTTATCCTGTTTGAACCTTAATAACTCATGTGCTTTTTGTCAAAAGTTAATGAAATTTTGTAGGGATGTTTGTTTATTAGGGGATTGATGCTGTTAGATTTTCGGCGGTTAAATGTCAAGGAATGGGGAGACAACAAGGATATCGTGTGTTAGAGAGTAAAGCTATAAAACTCTTTGATCGGCGTCAGGTTGATAAAACCCGCTCACGTTGTCACTGGATGGCTAGGATAGCTCTAAGTACAGTGGGGAAATCGTTGATAAGTCGACAAGGTGTCTGTTTCTCCAGAATAAAGGCAGGTTACGAGGTTGACAAATAAGCAACAATTTGACAAAAAAACAAACCAGATTACAATATACAGCTAAGTATTTATAAGATAATAGACCGAGAGAAAGAGTGTACACAATTCAACAAATAAAATATCTCTATTAGACCGATGTCTCCGGATTCAGGTTATGTGATGGTCGGAGAAAGATCGTGGATCTTCGGCGAAGGTAGGTTTAATAAAAGAGAGACGAAATTGGCAATGTTGAAAGGTGGAACGTTGTGTATTATTCCTCGAAATATGTTTGTCCCGAAGGTTGAGTTCGAACCTTTTTTTGTCCTCTAGAGTGTGCGACTTTTGCTCAGGTGATTCACTTTGTTGTGATTCTAACTTCCCGATTTGTCCCCGGTAAATTAGAACCGTCTGACTCTTTTTACCATATAAGGCAACAAATTCGAAGCTTTTAGAGGTCACCCTCGCGGTGTTATGACTCCTCTTACTTTATAGTTTAACTGATTTTGACGTTTCTCCCCAGTTATAACCATTTGTTAACATATTCGCGGTACTTATTCAAAACATTGTTAAAAACAGTCAATGTGTATAGTTATTTGATGGTCTTTATCTATCGAAACAGGTAAAAGGAAATTCCAAGTGGTGGGAAAAGGAAGTGGATTTTTTTACTTCTGCCTGAACTGCGTATTCGTTTAATTAACTAATTAAACTAATTACTTAATTGCACCTCCAGAATCTCACATGTGTATCTCTAGTAAAGTCAGACTTAATGACGATTTCCCTTATTTTTTAAATTTTCTTCAAGTTTTTATATAAGTCGTCCCTACCCTCAAAATTAAGCTTTTTCCCTTTTAAATTGTTAAAAATATTTAGGAATTTTTAATAAACTACGATAACAGATGGCGCCACCAAAATTGTAATTGTTGCCGGAAAAGTTCAGCAACTCGTTGCTGGTTTATTATAAAGATGTTCTTTTCAAATATTTCATTTAAACATAAATTTTGTCTTTTTAATCT